AGATGCATCCCTCTCGGGGAGAGCCACACTCATGTGAGGGCGTCTCCTGCATGGGAGGTTTTCTTCTAGGTTGGTCTGCACTGGAGCCTGGGCTGCCCGTGAGGGTGTCCCAGCTACCCCAGGGCTCAGCTCCGCGACCTTCCACCTTGGGGCTTGAAGTGGGATTATTCCAGGGAGCCTTGTCCTTTCTCCTGAGAGATGGAGACACTGTCTCATGTCAGCCAGTTGTCAGGCAGTGGGGAGTCAGACCCTCTGTGTTTGTGTCCTCCCCTTCATCAGCTCCTCTTTATCCTAGAATGAATAGGAAATACCTGGAAGTTGGTGGTGTGTGCGAATCATTTTGTGTTTATCAGTCTGGTCCAGGTTTTTCCTTTTTCTCAAGGCCCTTGGCTCATTTTCGCTGGTTTCTGGAAGAGGTATAATTAGATGCCTCTGATGAAATGGGATGGCAAAGCCTTAACCAGGAAATCAGGAGTGGATCTTCAGGCTCGTTTGAAATACCACCTCTGCTGCCAGCCTCAGCCTCCCAACTGTGAGTTGTGGATAAAGTGAGATGATGACTGTGAAAGGGCTTTGAAGGCTGTTCATTCTGCAAATAAAATTGCTTTGCTGTCTCCACATTTTGTGAGACCAGAAATCAGGCTCCTTGTTGGAAATGAGTTTGAGTTGTGAAGTTTTTAAGGGATATGAGATAATGGGTGCTGGTGATTTAGGTGGAGCGCAAAGCCTTTCTCTTTCTATGGTTTTTGCCCTTTCCACAGCAGTGCATCTGAAAAAGAGGTTTGGCTTGTTCTTTATCCCCCCAAAGAGAAGGCTGGCCTGGATTTCCACTTTAGATGATAATTCTTTGAGCATCAGGAGATTGTTTCAGCCACAGAAACTAATCTGCACACAGGTCCGCCCCCACCCAAGCCCCAGTTTCAGGAGCAAAGTTTAATTAAAATGGAAGCGTTGGTCATTTCTGGCCTATCTGGGAAGCTTAACGTTGATGTGGTTTGAATGAAAGTAATGAATTTTGCTTAAAATGCAAATATTAATGCAAGAAAGAGCCTGGGATTGACTCTTGGTATACGTGAAAGAGACTGTAATTTCCTTTTCGTATTTTTTCCCTTAAAGTAATGTCCCATTTCCCTCCTGAAAATCTAATATATACAATTAACATGTAGGGTATTTTTTTTTCTCCTTATGTTCCATTTAGTTGGCAATTTGTGTTTTTTGAACTCAAAAGCATGCATTCTTCTTCTTCTTAGTTGTTGGGATTATTGTTAGGTATTAATAAATCTTTGAAAAAGTCCTAAGGATTTGTGCTTGTTCATGTCTATTTGGATGACAGGAACTCGTTCCAGATCCAGGGTTCCTGCCAGGCCCTCTCAGGCCTGTGGTCTGGACAGCACTTGCCACCTGGCCTCAGAGTCTCCGTCCATATATAGGAGGGCAAAGTGCTCACATCGTGAAAAGTGCATATATTCACCGTGGTGTTTGTAGGTACCCAAGCCAAGTTTTAACATTTGAAATAACATGTGTTGCCCTTTGGTTAAGTAGGCTCATGTAATTACCAAGTTTCACAAGGAGAGCAGAATGCATTTCGAATGCTGTTGAGACACTAACAAGGGTGGGTGGAAATGCGGTCAATTATTCTGGTAACTGCTCAAAGCTCTGCAGGTTGGTGATACGTTTTACTAATCAGAGTCATTGTGAGCAAAATGGTGCACCTAACTAATGAGAAGTCATCACAGCTTGAGCATCGTGAAGATATTATTTTTGTGTTAAAGGAAAACTCCTTACAGAAACTAAAAACGAAAACCATCCATACGCCCTCTACCCTAATAAACCATACTTGCATCTCATTTTCCTTTCCGCCTCTTTATTGATATATTTGCAAATATTTATAAAATTGTAAGCACAGTACACAAGCAGTTTTGAATTTAGCATTTCTCATTCAACCGTTATTACACAGAAAGCACTTTTTTCAAGTTCTCACTGAACTTCTGGGCATTTCATGGCTTTAATGAGCCTTCTGTTGTCAAACATGTAGCTGTCTCTCAATTTTTTTTTTTCTTATTTACAATATGGCAATACATGTCTTTGCTGAAATTTAATTTTAACATTTTGTGGAGGAGGTTCTTTTTAGAATAAATTGAAACATTATTTTTTTCTTAGCATACATTGAAAGGAGTGGGATACTGTGCCAAATTTCAAGCAGTTTCTGGCAGGTGAGGGGCAGAGGGGAACCAGCTGGGGAAGGACACCATAGGTGTCCCACTTTGAGAAAGAGGTGACTGTGCCAGGGAGAAAGGCATGGACCCCCCAGCAGAGCTGCATCTCACTGCTGCAGGCCCCCAGGCTGAGGCAGGGCAGGTGGTAGAGCCCCCAGGCATGTTCTGCTTGGAGCCTCTTTCCTGTTGTCAGCCACCAGCATTTGGAAGGGACTCTGGGTGTGAATCAGACCAACAGGGGAGGGGCCTGTCTTCAGGGTTTCCTTCCTTCTGGAAGTCGGGGTTGGTTTGTGGCTGGGGAAGGCAGTGGATCCTGCCTAGGTGCCCGGGAAAGGCAGCAGGAGAGAGCCTAGGTGGCCAGGAACAAGGAAGCAGCTACCTGAGGAACTACAGCTCTCCGCCACCATTCCAGATCAGGGGGCGGGTGCCAAAGCTGTTTTTCTTCACCCAAACACGAAGGCAAAGCCATTACCTATGGGGTGGTCAGTCTTTCTTCTGTCAGAACTGGAGGCTGGAGGAACTGAAGGAGAAAAACAGGCCCTTAGTGAACACAATCATCAATCGGCCTGAAATCCCAGCCTCTTTCAGGGCTAATGGCTTCACGGCAGAGCTTATCACTGACTTCCCTTTTCTTTTCTGCTGATGGGTTCTTGCTAGTTTTGTCGAACTGCAATTTAATAACCCAGTGAACTCTGCCTTTTCTGGAGAGGGTCTTGTTGCAAGAAACGAAATATTTTAGAAAAGAAAACCACCCCCACAAAACCGACCACATTATGAGATTTCCAATTTTGCCATGACTTTGTTCTCATGGGATCCTGAGATTTGAGGAGATGGTTGGTGCAGAAACTGTGCTAACAAGCTCTTCTCTGAGAGCCCGTGCAAGGCTGAAAGCCCACTGCAGCCACATTTGAGCACACCCTGTCACCCCACTGTCATTGCACCAACTCCCTGCATGTTGTGCTGTCCCCAGCCCAGGCTATGTGGCCACATTCAGCATCCTGCAGGTATTTAAATATTCTTTCCTATTTTTTGACTATAGCCATGTTCCTAATCTCTTCATTGCCCCTTTCCTCCATAAAAACCAACACAACTGTAGAAAATGTATATAGACTTTGGTAATCAACATATTTAATGCTGCTAAGAGGAAAATGCCAGTCTGCACTGCATCTTTTTCAAAAACAAGCAGAAGCTGAGCAATGATGTTGAAATTGTCTGACGCAGGTCCACACAGGTCTCACTTCCTCTGTCCTACCAGCCTTCTAGGCAGAGCTCCCTTGAGCCCTTGATTAGAACTCACTGTGCCACTTCGAAAGGGCTGCAAATACATTTCAAGACCATGCTTCAGTACTTGAACATGTGTGTAATATTTCCCATGTTCTATTAGTGCTTTTAAACTCATTTAAAGGCCTTAAAAGCACTCAAGGACTGTTTAGAAGAGCAGTTTTCTTGCTCTAGGCCCAATTAAGGAATTAAAAAGTGATAAATGAGGAAAACCAGACAGGAAAGATTTACAGTGTATCCTGCAAACAAGATGCCATTTGCTGTGTGTTCTCTAAAAATCGCTTTGCTTTTGCGGCTAATCCATGAAGGCAAACCATCATCCAGGAGATCGGCTAGAACCGAACCATAAATAAAAGCAAAGTAGAGTGAGGCATGGAAAAGAAGGAAGTAATCTGTGAGCCAAGGAAGCGGGTAGGGGACCGGGATTTGGTAGTGCTGGATTCAGGGAGCACGCACATTACAGAGACGATGCAGAAGCAGAGCTCAGGACCAGTGCAGTGAGCAGTGAGGGGTGGTTAGTATTACAGGCATTGCAATTTTCCATATGCACTGACTTATTTGATTCTCTTGGCAACTCTAATAAATGTTACTACGTTCATTTTGTACACAGAGAAAATAAGAATCAGTTTGGCTATAAGCAAACTGGAGGAAGGGACTTGCTTGATATCACACAGCTAGAAAGCAGTAGAACTGGGTTTTGAACTTCTATTTTTTGGTGCATATTCCACTGTGCCACCCTGCTCAGGCTGCAGCCTGGAAGTTAGAACTGCAGTGGTCCTTGAGGTGAGGGGAGTTCAGGTGAGCTCTTGTTCAAGCAGAGAAGTGGAGGGAAGGTGGAACTAGGAAGCAGTCAGTTTCTCTGTGCTGGGCACAGCCTAGTAGATATAGGCAGAAATGGACAGACAGTCCTGCTCGTCCTGCAGGAGGCTGGGCTATATTTGTTCTACTGCGACTGTCTGCTTGCATGTAGCTTGGGCTGTGACCCATCCTCAGACCTGCATACAGTATTTTTTCTTTGTTCCTGACAGCTGACTTTGGAAAATGCCTTAGAAAAGCTTATTAATGAGGCTCAGGTGTGCGAGCACTGGAGGAAAGGCTTCCCTGGGAGGTGCTGTGCGCCTGACTCCCAGGGGGCATCTTTCCAGCTCCTTAGGGCAGGGCAGCGGGTGTGAGGGACAAGGCAGGGGACCTAGCTTTCACTGTGGGTGATCCTTGGATTATTGCCTCTGCTGACCTGTTCTTATTTTGAGGACGATTAACTATACCATTCACTCCAGGCTAAAAGATCCCAATGCTTTTACCTTTCTTCATTAACTGTGTTTTCTGACCTTGAATTTATACTGGCTTTAGGAACTTGGGCAAGTCAGTAAAAACAGCTGCGACTTCATCCCACAGAACTCCCCGGGTTTAATGAAATACTTCTTGGCCATTGCAATCTCTGGCTCTTTTTCCAAGGATTTAAAATGCCATCTCATGGTATCTGCTTCTGCTTTTCCTTCCCAGAGTCGAAAACATGCAAGCAAAGTCAGACTCTATTACATGCTTCACCCCAGGGATGGAGGCTGTCCGGCCAAGAGACTGCGGTCAGAAAATGTGAGTATCTGGCACATGTGATATTCTTGGCCAATCTGTTCTGTTTGCTGAGAACTTCGTGGGCCTTGGAATTGTCATCATGTTGAGCTGAGTGGGGAAGCTGAACAGAAAGAGTTCTCATTCAATATTGTAGAAAATATTACATATAAGCCAGTCTTTTTTCTTCTTCCTGCCAAAACATGCCAGTGTGGCCTTGAAGGACACTCTGGTGACACTGAGTTGGGACCACACAGAGAAAAAATGCACAAAGAGGCTGGCACAGAGAGCGGCTGGCTGAGGGGGCAGAGTCACTGGAAGACAAAGAGCAGGAAGACACAGCCTAAGTGGTAAACCCGTGAGCAATATCAGAGACGTGGCTTTTTACACCTTCTGGCTTTCCTTGGGTGTGTAAGGCAGAGCACCGGTTTGCTCATTTATACTGGAGACTGTCACATCTTGCAGATAAACATAGTCAGGGTTTTTGACCGGCTCTTTCCTCCATGAGGGAACATTTACTTGGGAAGACAAATGATAATTAGAAAGTTGCTTGGGGTTGTAAAGTCAGAGTAAAGGGTTGTCTTTAGTCAGGCCAAAGCAAAGACTGATGAAAGAAATATTCCTTCCTCTGAGAAGGGGTTATGTTTTCTAATGAGTAGACTATTCATATCCATTCATTACAGGGCCCCTCTAGGAGAAACCCTGCAGGCACACAGAAATTCCTCAACCTTGGAGTTCTGAGGAGGCTGCAGGCAGAGAATTTATTCGCCACGCTATCCCTGAGGTTGTGACCCTGTGTTCCTTCCATTGCATATAGATGCAGTCTTCTTTTCTTATTAAAAATTAATATGTGATTGCTGAAGAAACCTGACAAAAACCATACTTGTGTATTCTTCACAGGAGAAAAAGAGAGCAAGGGAGTTGCTTCTGAGCAAAGGTGATGAGCATCTGGGCTGGTGCTGTTAACAAATCCCGAACACGCCTCTTAGCCTCACAGAATGAGCTCTACATCCACAGACTGATCTGGAGCCCTGTGGAATTTTCCTCACCGCCTTAGTGAAGCAGCATTCAGAGCTTATTGGAGGGAAAAGATGTGAAAACTTTGCAAGCTGCTAAGAAGCGGCAATGGCTGTCAGCTCTGGGCTTTGTGACTGTGGGCAAATAGCTGGTCTCTCTGAACCTGTTTCCTCCAGAGGGCTAGGAGAGCCATCCTTCCCTTACTTGGCTTTCGGGAGGTGCGCTGTTACATGCCAGGCACTGAGGAAAACAGATCAATAAGACACAGATTTGCCTTAAAGAAACTCACAGCATGAGGCATGAACATGTATAAAAAATAGCTATAATCCCACAGTGTAGGTGTTTATTTAACATTTGCCCAGAGTCCCATGGGGACACAGGGAAGAGTGATTCATGCCAGGGCGATTAGTTAGGGGAGGTGTCAGCATCTGAGTGGGGGGCTCTGGGCTTGCATGGATTGTACCAGGTGGAGGTGGTGGGGCTGAGGAAGGGGGGCAGGCCCATTCTTAGGTGTATTCCTATCAAAAGAATTTTCTGAGCCACAGGAGAGTAACCCTCTGCTAGCTTTTATGTAATCTTGAACTCTGTAGCTACACTGGAGTCCTGATTTCCATTAGCAAGGGAACATAATTTACTTTTTTTCCCCCCCTGCGATGGTGGCCTCTAATCCTTCATTCAGTAGCCACTTAATGGTTTATCCAGGTTGCCAGAGAAAATAGGCTTCATGGACATTTGACACTGATGTCTTTGAGCACAGGTTATCTTCTGCCCATTCAAATTCTAATCATGAACGTGGCACTTTATCTGAGCTCCTAAGGAGGTTCCATCAAGCAAACAGCCAAGAGGCTCTGGGACTCAAGCTGGTGCTACGGGAGGACTCAAGCTGATTGCTTCTCTGGTTAGACCCATGCATGGTTGACCTCAGCAGGGCTCAGGTTCTGCCCGTAACCTTGGGGACAGTTTATGGAGGGAACGATGTTTGGATTTTGGAGCAGTAAGCATTGGTGAGGATTTGTTACCAAAGACCCCTTTGAGATCTTTTTCCTCTGGTGTATCCTGAGTTTTGAAAATGTTGACCTAACAATGATTTATTTACGGAATTCTTTTCTGTAACTTCTTTATAATCATAAAATCAGTGAAGATGAAAGTAACATAATAGCCTTACTTTTTGAAAGAGATGGTTGATGCTTTTATTAGGCCATGTGTACATTTCAAAGGTGAATATATCATTTTTATGAGGTGTTTTGATATATTGCATGCAGCCTGAAAGACACCCCCAGTCCTCCCGGGCTCTAAGAGTCGATGTTGGTAATTATTTGGCCAACTTTCTTTTATATAGACTCATACCTAAGGGTTGAGAGACAATATATAAATGCACAATGGCCAGGCCATATATAAAGATAGAACTTTATCCCACAGCCTGCTGTAACCAGTCCAGGAAACCAGTCCATTTCATGTACAGCGACCAAGCCCGGGAAGCCTGCCTGAGACAGACTATTACGAGTCAAAACGCAACCTCCTGTAATGATTCAGGAAGCCAAGCGACTGTCCTGACAATAGGCCCCATGTGGCCAGGACTTGACTAAGAGTTGGCAGCTTCCCTAACTTTTGTCCCTGCTTCAATTTAGGACCAACCAAAGAAAGGCAAATATGCAGCCCTAACCGATCACCTAGGATGCCTGCTTCTAGTTTGCCCTCTACAGGTTCCTCACACCAGCAGTCTCCCAACTGGGCATTTCCCGAAGCTTCCTTTTTTCCCCCCACTATAAATCTTCCTCACTTTTCTGTGTGCCTGTGAGTCTCCTCCAAATGCAAGTGATGGTGGCCAACTCCCTTGCTGCAGGGAGCGCTGAAGCAGTAGCCTTTTTTGCTCTCGTTTGCTGGGTCTTTGTTTATTTCACAGGGCTGTAAAATGGAGACAAAAATGACATTGGATGTAGAGGTTTATCATAAGGCCCAACGGAGCTGTCTCATTTATTCGGCGCTTTGTTTTCAAAGCACTTTCGGCAAGCCTCCTTATTAGCGATTCTCTCTGTGCCCCTGCGTTCTTGGAAGGATGCAACACTTGGCCCTACTTGCCTCTCTGTTTCTGCCCCCTGCCCTGCCACCAGGGGCCGTGACAGGTGTGCGTTCCAGTGTCACCTGTTTGAGAACAGGTCCCCGACCGCTCTGAACACCCAACAAAGTGAGCGGCTTCTGAAAACAGAGGAAACTTGTTGCTGATTCACACATCTGACTGCACATGACCCTTGGGCCCACACAGGTACCCAGAATTTGTGGGGCTGAGAAATGGCAGCCTCGCTCCCCTCCGCCCCCCCCAGGGGGTGCGCAGTAGCTCCGCATTTACACACGTGTCAGCAGAGGTCCCCATTCTTGCCCATGTCTATTGCTGTTTCTCCAGGCCATTTGACCTTTTTGAGGTTGGTTTTTGGAAAACAAAAATTCATTTCTGTTTCCTGTCCTAGTGTTTCCAGCTTTTTAAATTCCCCTCTTATGTGCTTTACTCTTTAGCCTGCCATTTGGATTGTCTGTGGTTTTTTTTCCCCTGAAATGTTAGCGCAAGACATTTTGCCCTTGAGGCCCCAGAGTAAAATTAAATGTGAAATAAATTGTTATAGTTGATTGCATTAGAGAAATTTTCAGTAATCCTGGGAGCATTAGAGCCAAAAAGGACTTGAGAGAATATTGAGTCCATTGAGAGTCTCCTTTTTTCACCAATGGCCCTTTTTATTATCTTTTCACCTGTGGATCACATGCTTTGGGAAAAAAAGATTTCTTTGGAATGTGGCACCTTTAAGTAAAAAGGTGATTTGGCTTGAGTTTTATTTTTATTCTGGGAAGATAAGTAACTGCCAAGAAAAATTGGTGGTCAAGAGTAAGTAAATAGCGTTTTTACAGGGAGTTCATGTAATTCCTTCTAACTAGAGAACCTTGAAGTTTGGTTAATGTGATCAGGCTTACAACTCCTAAATATTTATAGGATGCCCCCAGGTCTGCAATGTGAGCAGGGCTGGAGACTCGCCAGCATCACTGTCACAGGCCCCAAACATATGGGTTCCAGGTTGCAAGGATGGCATCTGGTCCAGGCCCCTCTTACTACACAGGTGAAAACTGGGCCAAGAGAAGTGCCGTGACTTATCCGGATCAGTCAGGCCTGAGATGAAGTCCCTCCCTGCTCCCTAAATCCTCTGTCTAGGTTTCTTAAACATATCTTGAAATTGTTATCTCTTTTTTAAGCATTTGCAGCCTTTGCTGAGTCCAGAGCCAGAGAGCACTGGGGTTCTGGGGCAGAGGAATTACAGCAGCTGCCACTTGTCAGGTGCATCTGCTGAAATTCTAAACAATTTACCCATGGGGACATCGACTCATTCCTGCAGAGGTTAGGAACTGACCTTATCCCCCTTCACAGGGAGGTGAACTGAAATAGAGAGTCTAGGTCACTCGGCTCTGGTCACGCAGCCGGTAAGTGTGGCAGAGACAGTGCTGGGGAAACAGCAAACAGACAGGAATTTCCTCTGGGACTGCAGCCTAGCTCCCCACATTGCCTCCCGAGACAGATCACTAGCATCTACTGAGTGCTGGGAGTACAAAGACATGGGACGCTCCCCAGTAGGATCCAGTGGGGGTGCGGGCCCAATGTGCACTGATGTCATTCACTGCAGAGAGGTAGGTGTGGTAGGCAGGTGCCCAGGGCCCCGACTGGGCACAATGGAGGGGTCCCCAGTCCCTCCTGCTAGGATGGGGCAGGACGAGGTTTGTGAGGGAGGCGACACTGAGCTAATAGAGAAGGACGGAGCTGGGCGAGCCACAGGAGGAGGGAGGGACTTCGTCTGTTCTGCCTTTAGAGTCAACAGCACAAGCAATGTCTTTGGGGAAACAAATGCCAAAGGTATTTCTGGAGTATAAAGTGCTAGTGGGTAGCTGTGTTCATTTCCATGGGCTGCTGTGACAAATTACCACAAACTGGGTGGCTTAAAACAACAGAAATTTGTTTTCTCACAGTTCTG